GGATGTTTTTACAGTACTGGGAAAGCCACAAGCGCCCAGACAGGGCAGACAGAGCCGCCCTCTCTCCCCAGGTCCTGGAGCTGTGTCGGCAATAGGAAAGGATCACCCAGATGGATGGACTGCTGTATCGCCGTACCCAGAGGCCAGATGGAGGAGAGGACTTCTACCAACTACTCCTTCCAGGATGTCTGAAGAGTGAGGTTCTGCAGCAGCTACACCAGGGTCATGGCCACCAGGGGATGGAGAGGACAACAGATCTTGTACGACAAAGATGTTACTGGCCCCACATGCACAGAGACATCAAAGAGTGGTGCCAGGCAGTGTGAGCGCTGTACACTTGCCAAGGTAACTCAACCATACACCAAAGCACCCATTGGGCCACCTCCTGGCCTCCAAACCCAATCAGATATTGGCAATTGACTTTACTCTCCTTGAACCCTTGCAAGAGGGCAAAGAAAATGTCCTTGTAATGACTGACGTGTTTTCGAAGTTCACCCAGGCTGTAGCAACGAAGGACCAACGTGCCTCAACAGTCGCACATGTTCTGGTGACAGAGTGGTTTTACAAGTTTGGAGTGCCGCTCGTCTTCACTCTCTGACCAGGGTAGGAATTTTGAGAGTGCCCTTATTCAACAGCTATGTGAACTCTACTACAAAAACCCGGACTACACCATACCACCCCCAGGGTAACGGGCAGTGTGAGCGGTTCAACCGGACTCTCCATGATTTACTCCGTACACTCCCAATTGAAAGGAAGCAGAATTGGTCTAGATACTTGCCTCAGGTTACGTTTGCAGACAACACCACCATCCACCAATCTACCGGTGAGTCCCCTTACTACCTTATGTTTGGACAGGAGCCTCATTTACCTGTTGACTTCCTCCTGGGAAGAGTTCCAGAACCTTCCCATAGAAGAGTTGAAACCTGGGTCCAGGAGCATCAAAAACGACTACAGGTGGCCTACGACGGGGCACGTTGGAGAATGGAGAAAGCTGCAAACTCTCGCAAGGAATGCCAAGACGCTGGAGCTAATGCCAGCGACCTGCAGGAAAAACAGCTGGTCTACGTGAGAGACCACAGCAGAAGAGGAAGAGTCAAAATCCAGGACCGGTGGAGCCCAGTCATCCATGTGGTGATCAAGGCCCCCAGTGCTGGGGGCTCCACATATTCCGTGACCCCCTTGGAAGATCCCCCACAAAGTGAAACACCTCCATCGATGTATGATCAAACCTGTACCTCCTAATCTTTGCCCTCAAGGATCTGCAAGAGAGGACCCCAGTAATGCCCCCACTGAGAGTGAGGACCACGTGGCTATGGGCAGGGACACGCTTGAGGAAGAAGCGGGTGATGGTCTCTTTGTGGTGACCAGGTCCTTTGGTGAAGAATCAAGACCGCTCCAGATAACACCAGCCACTTCTAATAGTTCTCCTCTAAACTCATCCCTCGCAGTGGCTTCAGGAAGCGGGACAGAGCCCCCAAGGAGAACAGCTCGGAAAACAGCGGGTCAACACTCGAACCCTCATCGCCTGCCTGAGGTAGCAGAGGTTAGGCTACCTGGGGCTGTAACCTCTCGGGTCCCTGGTTTTAGTGGTATGGTAGCTGCATATTTTAGACTCTGGAACTAATCAGCTGTTATAGTACTGGGTGATATCGGCGGGTCGCCAATACAACAAATTGGGGGCAGATTGTAGCCGGCGCTACTGTTTTCTGGATTAGCTGTCAGATCATTTCTTCACGTGGCTGGGCCGCCACTGGCCCTTTAAGACACACCCCCCCCTTCTTTAGTCAGCTGGCCCTTCCATATAAGGAAAACGCGCAGCTGTACGTAGTTCAGCAATCTCCCCGCCACACTTTAAATGCCCACTCACTCCTCACCCAAATCAGCTGTGACTATTACGAGTGTTCTTGTCCCAGTTATCGTTGTCTGACTGATAGGCGTGTATTCCCCCTATACGAGCTATGTGAAGCTGCTGTTAGGACTTGTAACATTCAGTGTACCACTAAATTGTTAACATGTGGCCTGTAAACGCCAGGCTTCTTGACAGCCCCAGCAGAGACTGTGTAGAGAATCACCGTTGCGGAGGTGTCCAATGAGGTGATAATTGAGTGAATGCGTTTGCATCAGAGGTAGGAGATTAATTGAATGTACATTGAAGGACATTCATATAAATCTTTATACAATTTCTAATCTCCTTTCTCCATTTATTTTAGGATTAGTTTGCTACCGTTTTGCCTACCTTCTATGTCTTGCTTATTGACTAGTTTGTTGTATTATGTACAAACTAGTGATTTAAATCTTTAAAGCTACAGCACCCTCCTTGTAACGACCCACCCTGTCCCACAAGGTCTAATACTGTCTCTGTGCTTATACTTCTTCAGTGACGGTCCTGGCCATACTGTGGAGTGGAGCATGTGGTTTGCTGGGCACTTTTTGCATGCAGATATGGGTGATTTGCAGTGAGTGTTGATCGAATACAGATACACGTGGTGATATTGTGGTTTTGGGGGAAACCCTCAGCAGTTGGCCAGAAGAATCACTTTTTAACTATTTAACTATCACTATATGTGTGATATTGTAATTATTCTAGTTATTCTCTCCTTGTCAGAGCCAGCCTTCAATCGTGGGACTTAGGTGTGTCGACTGGGAAAGCTGAATAAGTTTTAATCTGCATTTTATATTACTGAACTTTTACTTGATTATTTATATAATAAACGTTTGTAAACATTTGAACTTGAGGCCGCGTCCCTGTCCATCCTTTTATTCTTATCTGCGTGACTTGTCCTAAGGGCTCGTATTGGGGAACCCAGGTTAGCGTTACAGTAAGTATCCTAACCCCCTTTTATTATCGCAGCCCCCCCTCCCCGGTGGGGCAGGTCACACGTGCAATGATTCCTTTTTAATATAATTGAATCAAGAACACAATTAAAGTTGTGTACTTTCGCGAGAAATACACATTAGAGTGCCAAGTGTGTACTAATCCGCCGGTGAAAACAGTATGTACAAATACACTAAGTGGTTGAGTAATATTTCCTGAAAAAACTACAGTGCCCAAAAGTTTTAGGAAATGATGTAACCTTTATTAAATAAAACTATAACCACTTTGAGCACTTCTTCCACCATTGGGTTCTTCAAAGCGTTTGGGAACATTTAGATGGAAGAAGTACTCTAGTAGATTATTAACTTAAAGGTAGGGTAGGTAAGAATGGAGAAACCAGCTCGAGTGCGCTAGAATTTGAAAGTACGCAGCCGAAAAAACACACGAACGCGCACATGACTAATGAGGGCACGAGATACATTTGTGCACAGATGGAAGGCTGACAGGCAGGTATGCCATCCAGTTATTTTAGCCGGGCCGGCTAAAATGATTGGTCGTGCTTTTTACAATACTACGGCTTCCACAGATGACATTTTTGTATGCATTTATTGTCAAAGCATTTAATATATTCATTGCTATCGGGATGTTAAGAGCATTCCATGGAATATAACAAAAAGTGTTTCTGAAGTGAATTACCTACCCCACCTTTAAGTAAAAGTACTGCAGTGAACAAAAACTCAGTTACAAGTCCTGCATTCAAAATTGTAAGTAAAAGTACAAAAAGTCACTGGCTTCCGGTAACTGCTAGAATCCACTTCAAGACACTGGTACTTGCTTACCATGCTGCGAATGGATCTGGCCCTTCCTATATCCAGGACATGGTTAAACCGTACACCCCAGCGCGTGCACTACGCTCTGCATCAGCCAAACGACTCGCTGCACCCTCGCTGCGAGGGGGACCCAAGTTCCCATCGGCGAAAACACGTGGGTTTGCTATCCTGGCACCAAGATGGTGGAATGAGCTCCCCATTGACATCAGGACGGCAGATAGCTTGCACATCTTCCGGCGCAAACTGAAAACTCATCTCTTTCGACTCCACTTCGAGCGATATAACTATTAACAAAGCACTTATATACTAATAAAGGACTGGCTTATCTAAAGCCAGTTGAGTAGCACTTGAAATGTTTGGCTCTATGAAACCTGATGTACTTATATGATGCTGTTTTCTTCAAGTTTGTATTTTGTTGGTCGAACGCACTTATTGTAAGTCGCTTTGGATAAAAGCGTCAGCTAAATGCAATGCAATGTAATGTAATGTAAAGTACAAAAGTCTTAGCATCACAATATACCAAAAGTAAAAGTACTCATTTTGCAGAATGGGCCATTGAAAGACCAAATACTTTTCATAGGGGTTTATTTTGATTATTTTTTGTACTACTGGGGAGCTTAATAAATAATAATGTGGTAGAAGGTGCAAAATAAATGTAGTGGAGTACAAAGGACAGCATGTGTCTGCTAGCTCCAGCTTCATATTGATGGGACACATATGTACGGTTGTGTCAATCTTCTCATCTAACGCTGGGCAAGAAATTGAATCGATTCATAATGTTCACAATGTATGAATTATATTCTGTACAGTATGAGAGAACCCTCTGGACTTAAGACGAATGGAGGACGATTAAGGATATTTGGCTTGAATTGATGATACATTTATAAATACTATGAAAAAGTACATCAATATGCAACGATGACAACATGTTAGAAACTTCCATTATTAATAGATGGAATTTGTAAGCAAGAGAGGGTGATTATCCAAGAGTGAACGTTTTTGCAGCATATCAGTTTCAAGACTTGAGCTATACAAATATTTGGCAGTCACACTACAAGTTAGAGGTTTCATTTTGATTGCGGCGGCTCATTTCCAGCCTGAGTAGCTTTGTTGAACTATAGCCTATCGTAAGAAATGCTTAAGCAATGGTCTGATTGTGTTGATGAAATTCCAGTAAAGAGATATGCACTTTCACCTCACTGTCGACTGTCAACAGATACAATCTAAAAGAGGACAATTCATGGATGTGAGAGGAAGGAAGCATATGGCACTCTCACTGTCAAATCATTGAAGTATGAGAGGACTTTCTTAACCAATTTCGAGAAAATTAGACAAAAACATCTGACAACTGCATCTGCTGAATATGTGCCTTTATTGTTTTGTTATCTTGTGCCTCTTCTCCCTGCTAAGTAAGCAGAAATAACCGTGTTTTTCAGGTCGATCCCTAAATCACAAACCAAGATGAATGTTTACTCCTTAAGGATTTTGTTGTTCAGAGCTTTTCATGATGAGCTTCAATGCGATACAAAAATTAAGAGTTTTACTCTAAACAGAGTTACTCGGATTACAACATTTAAAATGTTTGCTTTTTTCAAAACAGAAAGAAAGTCCATTGCTCAGTGAAAGGGACCACAGGTTGCATTAAAACTATAGAGCAGAAATAACTTTGTTTAAGAAATGTATATGTGACAACATATATGTCCCTCACTCCTACTGTAACTGATGGCTACCAAAGATAAAGCCCCAGTGTAAAGAAGCAACTTCTGTGGGAGAACAGCACCATTACACATCACGCTGTGAAAATACTTCCATGACTACTGTGATACAGCAATTGGTTTTCAACTTGACTTTCCCATGGTCACAAAATGCATTAGACACATTTGTAGGAAAACAATGCAGTTATTAATGCAGTCTGGCTTGGGTCTAATTTACATCCATGTAAACAAGTTTATTCTTGTCAAGTCAGTACAACACATGTATGGTTTTCCACTGTAGCTATGTGATCATTTTAAGCACAGTCTCACACACAGACACCAGCACACACACACTTTGCATTTGCTGGAAGATGCGGCTTATAAATAAATAGAAAACGTTTAGAATGCATTCAGTGCATTTGTTACACATAATGCAATATATAAGATGCTGATATTCCTAAATGTGCACTGCTCTTTACCTTTTATATATATATAACGGATGTAGTTTGGTCATGAGTTACCGTTAAAACTAACCGAAGCGAAAAATGGATGAAGAGGAGATAGCAGCAAAGATAGAGAAAAAGAAAACAGAGCAACATGGCTTAGGTTTATCTTCCCATCAGACTGCTGTAGCAAATCCTATCCGATTATTGCGGCGGTCAAACTCTGTGTAGTAGCGGGCAATGAAGTTGGCTCCCAAAATCCACATGGGACCTGTAGGGGGCGGCACATCCAAGGCCCTGAAGGTGACGGTGCAGACGTCCGCTTCGATCTGGGTTTGCTGCAGCCACAAGGAAAAGTCAGATTTATAACAAGACACTATAAGAGAAGCATATATACAGTGATGGAAGAAGCACTCAGATCCTTTACATTACTGCTATGGAAATAGTTCCTGCTTACTTGAAGTAAACGGTTATTTTGTGTTTTTTTGTAATTGAGTATTCTTGTATTTTAAAGGTCCCATGACATGCTTTTCCGGTTATTACCCGTTCCCTTGTGTGTTATGTAGCTTTTTCTGCATGTAAACGGTCTGCAAAGTCACAAACCCTCAAAGTACACCCTGTAGCGAGTAACACTCTAACACAGAAAATACCTGTCTACAATGCCCCAGAACGCCTCTTTGGAGATCTTTCTTTTTCCATTTTTTTCTTCCTGAGTATAGTGACGTAACGATACCCAGGTCCAAATGGACCAATCCGCGGAGCTCCTCTTGCAGACCCCATGCAGCAACCAGGAAACAACACCAGTAATCCAGCTCACACTGTCCGCTCCTTGAGCCTCAAAGGGTGGAGCAGCGAGCCCCGCAACGTCCCGCCAACATGGCACCCAGACCCCACGCAGCATTCTCATCTGTTTGTCATTACTGGTGTAATTTTCTGGTTGCCAACAAACGCCATTGTAATACATAATCACAGATGTGCCGCTGTAACGGTGGTGGACTCATCAGTACAGAGTGGGCGAGCTGACCAATCAGAGCACAGTGGCCTCATAGGGAGGGGGGGGGGCAGGAGCTCCAACAAGCCATTTAGGACAGAGAGTGAATACACATACTATACAGAGATGCTGTATGAGAAACCAATGTGATTTTGGAACATTGAACAATGTACATCTATTCTAGTAGACCTCAACAATGGAATTATGATCAATGGAAATGGCCATGTCATGGGACCTTTAATGTGTTATTTTATACGTCGGGACTGTGGGAAACAGTATTTCGATCTTTCTGTGTGTACAAACATATTTCGAGATTGACAATAAAGTTGACTTTGACTTTGTTAAGTAAAAGCAGCAACAACACAATGTAAATATAATCTGTTTAAATTAAAAGTCAAAATACAATAGTACAATCTTCTTGTGTACTTAAAGTATAAGCAGTAAGGTTTAAAACCCACACAAATTCCAGCATATGTTCGTAGCAATTTGACCAAGCCTAATGAGCTAAATAACTAAAACATGCGTTGTAAGTATTTGCAGCTGTGAGTTAAATACAGCACATAAATATACCTTTCTGACATGTAGTGTAGTAGAAGTATTACGTTTTAAAAACTCCTTAAAACTGTATTTAGGTACACTTCTTGAGTGATTGCACTTGATTGCATTCCACAACTGCATGTTTATATAAATATGATTCAGTATGTATCATCCTTCTTACCCATAAGATATAATCCTCCCAAGTGAGAGAGTATTCCTGGCCCCCCAGGTGGAAAGTGACACTGGGCAACATCTTGACAGTGTTACAGTTGACTTTGTACTGATGAACAAAACAAATCAAAGGGTGATAATGGGTTGATGACTTTTCTTTTACAGACTAACGTATCTGTGGGAAACTATGTTGCATGCTTAAAAACTTACTCCACTTTCATCCAGGTGTGCTCCGATGTTTTTCATCAGCGCGGACACAGAGGACGCCGGGCCTGTAATGTAGGATGAGCCGCTGTCGATCACTGCTGTGCAGCCCTCCGCACAAAACATCATCTCCATACCCACAGAAACCCTGGAAGCATGAAGGGTTGCACAATAAAACGTGTTGTTTCTCAATGAGTGCAAATACACATAATGTTTTATGTATTAAGAACAATTCTCACCCTTTCATGTTGACTTCCCATTTGCCAGTCTCTTTAGTGTCCATATAGTTAAAGTTTCCGCTGTAGTAATCTGGGTCTGTGCCACCAAGAACCAGCTCTCCACCTGGGGAGTGTTTTGGATCCCTGAAAACACATTTAAAAAACCGTTCCATGACCTCCCATGACCTTTCATACTTGTGAATTTTCCTAGAAAAATCCCAGGGAACCATTTTTCCTCAACTGGTTTCGATGGACAAAACTGAGATTGATAAATAGAGAGTACGTATTTTCTTCAAGCACTCGGTTGAATCTACCAGATCCAAAATCAGCTCATAGGATGTAATTTAATAACATTTTTTCTTCAACTTTACCAGTAAGATTACAACATTTTCATAACAGATATTTAATAAGACATTATTATATTTCTATTTTGCAGTTAATAAATTAAATTCTTGACAAAGCTATGTTAAATCATTATTATTTTTGTAATCGTTGTTTCATTCAAAACAAACACAAGTGTAATCTATATGTTCTTGCTAGCAGTGGAATATTTGTTTTGTCTCAATCATCTTACACATCTAACGATTTATCTTCTGTTTATTTCATACAAGCTGGATGAGTTTACTGGATTTCACACACCTGCTGTAGTAGATAGAGAACACCTCTTCCGTGAGGACATGCTGAGACATGATACCGTCAAACACGGGAGTAATGCCGTCGATGGCCACGTTTGGGTAACCCATCCCAAGGACTCCATCAAACTTGGCAAAGATGAAGGGCATGGCAGACAGAGAGGCTGCCTCAGCAAACACCTGAACTACAGGGATCCCACCAACCTGCACACAAGCTCAGAGTCACATGTTGGGAGTGGAGGCCGTGGCAGGACATTAAAGAAACAGTTTGTTAGAAAAAAAACAAATTCTTTGTTTTTAAACTGGTTTAATGAACAACTTACCACAACCACATCCTCACTCAGAAATCCCCTGACATTCCCTGCAGCATACTGGATGGAAAAACCGGTTCCGTTCTCAACATAAGTGCGAGATTGGGAGGCATCGTATCTGTTGTGAGTGACTAAAAGTTCAAAATTCATTTGAGTTGTCAAAGTAGTTTGGAAGCTTTACCAAACAATGATTCTTGAGTCTCATTTATATGAAAATAACAATTACAACTGCATTAACATTTCGTTTTTTGCCCACTTTGGAAAAAACCACACCAGTTGCAAACCACATTTAAGTTAATATCGTGAAATTTTACACATCCGTCAAATACGACTTTATCCTTCATGTGTTTCTTGGAAACTTGAAAATAATAATAAATAATAAATGTTATTTCTATAGTGCTTTTCTTGAACCCAAAGATGCAAATGGAGCCCAACTTTCACTATCCTTTTGGTGTGCACCGACTTCTGAGGAAAATATGTCATTCTTTAGCTGTTAAGTAATGCACTTTCTTTGCCAGTTAGCTGCTAGACTGTCAAAGAGGTGCTGAGCAGGTAGTGGAATATTTGTGGAATACTTGGTTTTCAGAGCTTTTTCCTTTAAAACAGGTGCCTGCTACAGTACCAAAACAGTAGAGTTTTTGCTCTAACTGTAAAGGCCTTATTGCAGCTGTAACTAAAAGTTATTTTCTGGGTCGTGGACACTTACAACAGGCGGTGGAGAAAGGTGAGCAGCTTTGCGAAGGCACCCACAGGTTGGCGGAGCCGGTGTCAAAGACCACGTTGAACAACTGGGGTGGAGAGCCAATACTGATTTCCCCGAAGTACTGGGTCTGTTAGAGATAATAAATACAATTATACAGTTATGGTGATCTATTTCCTGACTTTCCTAAACCAGCTAATTCCTTTGTCGTGTTGATGTTGTTTGATGATGTCTTTCAAATCCTTCTTTTGTGCAGTTAACACAAATTGAATTTGAGGTCTTTAACGATGCCACTGATGATGATACAATTATTACATGAATCAAAAGTTTAAATCTAAAGGCAATCGTATTTGCTGTTTTATTCTGTAAGAAGTTTGGAGTTTTGCCAAAGACAAGCTTCAAAGCCCATGGTTGCTTAAACCCTCAAAACTAAAGTGTCTTTTTTTAGCAGACATCAAATTAAATTACATGTGAGCATGTCGGTTTCTACTAAATTGAGCCTTCATAAAACAGACAATAGATTTTCAGAAATGTTCTTTAAATATATAGCACACAAAATTGTCTCACGTCTAAGTAGTTGGTTAGAGGGGTGGGAACAGTTCCGTTTTTGTCGTCTGCGCTCTTCTCGGCTAACTCATTTAGGATCTGCTCTGCAGAAACACCCATGTCCCTCAGTGTCTCTCGGATAGAGGGCATCTTGTGCAGGGAGATTCTGGAAACAGAACAGACATTATTAATGTATTGCGGCAGAAACGTAAAGACTTTGTGACAAAAGAAGAAATACTATGTTTACATGAAGTACTATTTCCATACTACATATCAACTACATATGCCTGGTCACCATCCCATTTTAACAATGATGCTTTAATAATGCCAGAATGCTTGCTCTCAGTGCTCTCAGCAAGAACAATGAACAAAAACATATGTTAGTCTGAATGCTGAAAACAATAACTTTGACCAATAAAACATTTGTTTTCCTTTGTTTATTTTTGTTGTTTATGTCTTCTTGTTTTGTTCAAGCCAAGAAGACAGTTTTATATGTAAAAGTCTCACCTTCTCAAGGCATGGGTCCATGTCACTGTCGAAAACAAAGCAACCAAAAACATCCAGTAATTCATCAACAGAGCCATGGTGATGACAGGTGGAAAATACAGACCAGAAATGGAGGCTGTATATGCAAAGTGGATTTTCCCAGGTTTAAGAAAATTCCAGAATATCGAATATTATTAAAATGGCGGATATGAAAGCTGCTGCTCTCCCTCCCGTACTGCTGCCTCGACTCCCTTTATACCAAGTGCTCTTCCCCATATGCCTCACCTATATGCCACTGACTGGATGGGAGCTCTGCTGGGGGTGACCACTTGAAAACAAGCTCTGCTTTCCTCCTCCCAACCCCCTCTACCCTTCTGCCTTGGTCCCACAACCCTTACTGTGATAACCAGGTCCCTGTGAGAGGTCTGACCTTTGACCTCTTGAAAAACATTGAAGACAGAAAGCAGGGGTGCAGAGCTGCTGATATTGCTGACGTCAGTAGGATGGACACCTTGTCTGCAGGGCCTGTGAGAACTTTTAGATTGATTGAAAGTTGACTTATTTGTTTTAAATTGCTTACAAATAAACTTTTGATTAAATTTGATCTTCATCGATTTATACACAACTGTTTATGTATAACTTTAATTAGATGAGGTTTTATAAAAAGGCTGATTTCGTGAAAATGTTATCATTGTTGAATGTAAATTGCAGATTGTCCTGCAGTTGATAACATTTAGCTTGCCTTGTCTCTTTTTCTCACAGCCTTCGATTCCATATCTGTAAAGCGGACAGGTTTTACACCTCTCTGTTGACCTTCTGCTTGTGATTACTCTCATCATGCAATGTTCACTGCAGCTTGTTTACCACTCCAGTATTGATTCTCACAACACAGGCCAAGAGGGAAGGACATGAAACATCTGTAACTTCAGTTCAAGGTCGTTGATGGGTTCATATTATAACATATGGCTGAGCCCTGCAGTGTGGCTTAGCCCTGCAGTGTGCTCTATTCAATCAATCAATCAATCAATCAATCAATCAATCAATCAATCAATCAATCAATCAATCAATCAATCAATCAATCAATCAATCAATCAATCAATGTTGATTTATATAGCTCAATATTACAAATGTTACATTTGTCTCAGTGGACTTCACAGTTTGTACAGAATATGACAATACGACACCCTCTATCCTTGGACCCTAACATCGGACAAGGAAAAACTTCCAAAGAAACCCCACAGTTTAATGGGGAAAATGGAAGAAACCTCAGGGAGAGCAAACAAGGAGGGATCCCTCTCCCAGGATGGACAGATGTGCAATAGATGCCGTGTGTAAATTGAAAGATAATAGATTTACAACATCAACAGCTCAATTTGTCATGCCGTATATTTTAGTGACGTAGTGCTCTGACCCGACAAAGCTTAGCAACTTATCATTCTGTCCTGGTTCTCACTGGGTTATACAGGATCACAGAGTATCTGGCCTGTCAGGTTGAGGTCGTGTTTTAGTACTGTACCGACCAGCAAGTAGGATATGTGGGGGTTTATGTCAGAGTGACGCCAGCAAGGGCAGAGTTTCCAGAAAATGATCGAGTGGTTAGGCGCAGTATATCCAGACAGACAGTGATGACTTACTTACAACAAAAACACTGTATTGCATCAAGTTTGACCTATAATTCAACTCTCTATAATTAATAATAATGATAATGTTTACTTGTGTGCAACTAATGAATATACAAAACAAAATGTCTTCTACTGTATGTTTTAAAATAATCTAATTACTTTCAAACCAGATTTAATAAAACATTTAAAATATAATTTAGATTGCATCAAAGGACAAAGTGAAAACAAGGAAAGTTTTTGATAATAATGATAAACTTACAGATGATTATAACCTGAATCTGCAGCTTTCATTGACTTTATAGTGATTGTCAACTCATTGTTAAGCTGTCTGGCCTACAGCTAATTGTTGGTCGACTCTTACTGCTCTTAAAGTGTCCTTTTCTGGTAAGGCAGACAGCTGTTTACATCAAAAGCTGTTAGAAACAACTTGTAAACTACCTCCACCAACCAGCAGACAGACAAAGTTAGCGACTAGCTGGTGAAGAAAGTGAAGCATTTAAAAAGGAAATAAAAAACTGTACTTACATTCACCGGATGTCCTTTACCTCCAAATTAATATATTGTTGCTCTGTCACTGTTGCAAATGGTCGCTTACAACTTCAAGAGACTTAAAAGCTGTAATAATCGATCTTGTGGCCACTTGGTAGAACGTTTAAGAAGCTGTTGACACAATATTTTATCACCCTTATAAGTTGTTGTCATACCCGTGTTAGAAGTGGGTAAAACACTTTATTGGGTGATGATTGTTGTTGGTTCATCACTATGGGCGATCCCTTTCCAATTACACATGGTTACTTGATTTGTCATTAATATAAATATGGAATCAAGGTGCCTACAACTAGGCCTTACAGGCTGGTATTAAAAGCACTTTTTGGGCAATATCTCACAGACATCTGACTTTTGACCTGCCTGGCCAAAGTTACTTTCCCACACTGCTTAGAGGTTCCCATGCGTCACTCCTGGCCTGGCCTTCCACCTTTCCAAGTAAGACCACTCTTTGGTGGGCATGGGAAAGGTAGAAATCATGAAAGAGGATTTATTTGGGCTTCATGTTGTTTTTGGTGTCATTGATTGATATTTCCTTGAAGGCACACACGTCAAAACTCTCTGATCTGCTGGTCGGAACTATTCAGAAATTATAGTTTCATGAAGTAAATGGTGGTTATAAATGAGGAAGCTGTCGAACAGACCCCAAAAGAGTGGCTGCATGTTAGATATGCATCACAGGCAGAATCCAAGTAAGAGGATATTTTTGGGTGAGCTATCTATCATGATAAGCAAGATATGCAGCTGAGCAGTGTTTGTTTGCAGGAAATGAGACTTGAGGGGAGTTATCAATCAACCAAACAAGCTTGACTCCCAAAACCACAACAACTCAACTTTGAATCCTGACCAGCTGTTAAAAACCACAAAACTCTAAATATTGTTGTTGTTCTGTTTGGATTATTTTAAGTCGGTGCATCATACATTTAGGTGTAAAAAAAGGAAAGAAGAATCATTTGGTTTCACTGATATTATCCTTAGCAACGTTTTATAAATATGAAGCCAATGAGCTCCAAATTAGAAATGACTAGACTGTGATTCCATCTGGAGACAATATGTATGAAAATATGTGGGACATTCTTCACAACAGGAGGTCAAATATGTAGAAATGGAGGCCAAATATGTAGTAAAAACATATGTAATGCTGTGAGTAATAGAGCTGATCTTTATTTTATAAAAGGTTTTGTAAGCGTAAATACGATTTTTCTTTTTTCCCATTTTTCCAGATGAATTAGTTTTTTGGAGAAATAAACATGCAGTATCGCTCCTGACCAGCAGTGCGCAGCATTGGAACTAAAACGCATCAGGACAGATCACATGCCGCTATGTGTATGAGTGTAGGAGTGTGTGTGTGTGTGTGTGTGTGTGTGTGTGTGTGTGTGTGTGTGTGTGTGTGTGTGTGTGTGTGTGTGTGTGTGTGTGTGTGTGTGAACTGAAATGTAATACTTAAAGGGTAAGGAATTGTGTTACAAGATTAAGCACAAATTGTTCATGTTTTTCTGGAATCCTTTAGTTTTTATTATGAGGTTATTGCCTTGCAGAGAGTCAATGGCTACTAGATTGCTTATTTAAAAAATGAATGGACATTTATGAGTTTACAGATGCTCATTTTCATTAACTGTGACAGTCAATAACTCCAACAACCTTAGTTTAGTCTGATACTGGGTGAGGAGTCTCCTCATTTCTAAGGCTAAATCGGTTTACATAATAAACATTATTTACTGTATGCATGTTATCTAAGATAAGTCTGGTATTTTATATAGTTTTATTTTTATCAAGAACAAAAAAAAAAGATGATTTCTTTCCACTAACAAATCTTCTCTGTGTATCCAAAACCTAAAACAACTTGTTCCTCTCTGCAATGTACGTCATTGCTATTCAAATGTGAGTATATCTGGTCTTCTGGTCAATATAATTGAATCTGTATATCCAGATGGATAAACAAATTATTAACAACATGATTTAAGGCCAGATATACAGTAACATAAGGTTAATAGTGAATTTGTTACTGGTTTCTCAGGCCCCATTTAGACATATTAAGTCCCATTACTTGGAGAGTGCATGTGTTATCTGTGGCTTATCTTGGAGAGAGATAAAGTGAATATATCTGGTTTGTGTCCTGTGAAGATGCACTTCAATTCCCAGGGAGCTTTATTAGGAAACAGGTGCTCCACAAAGACAGAAAACATCTGGTGAACACACCAGAAACCATAGCAACCGTGCTTGTTTTACTGCTTAGTGTTTGAGATGCAAAAAGTGTGCCAATCCATCACCTGGACCCATGAATATTTAATAATAGCCACGCAGTATTGTACGTCTGGATGGTCTTATTATTATTAAGTAGCTCTGATTGGTACGTGTTTACCTCGTACATTTGCTTTACGAGTCACACCTCGTACATTTACCATTAATACAGTTTCTTGGTGCAATGCAAACTTCTGTAACAGCACTTTTGACCATTGCTCTTACTCTACTCGGATTAAATAACTTAAAGGCTTATTTTTTACACACACTCTATGTGTAATGTGCAGTGCAGAAAAATATCCACCAGGAAAAAGATATAAATTAAACATGAAAAATACAAGTCATAATATGTGTTTGTGTATTTGTCTTTGTCTTTATGGCTTTGTGCACAGCATCACAAGCTAAAGATACAAACTGAAGCCAGCATATATAAAGAGACAGCAAGCAGTGACAGCAGTGGTGCCAAAATAATTCAATAACTGAGAGAGTAAAGCCACAATACAAAGCTTTGTGAAGCAGACTGATCTGTACATCAAAGTCTGGCTAATATAAAAAACAAGGCCATTCAGGCTCCCGGCACTCAGGAAATATTCCAGAACTTTTAGAAAGATTTAAAGGGGCCCTATTATTCTTTTTTTGAGTTTCCCTTTGCTGCTGTGTTTTATATAGGTTTCTGGTCTTTATTTAACAGTATTGATACTGTGAACGCAACAAAACATGATGAAAGTCTAAGGACTGAAGCCTTAATAAAGTGAGAACAAGTTATCAACAGTATGCAGGACTTGTTGCTGTGTCCCCTATTAAAATGAATGTATTCAACACAGATGCTTAACTTAATAGTCTCCAAAAGTGTGACAGG